CAAGGAATGGTACCAGAGCAAGCAAACAGTGTATAAAAGACCAGGCGACTGTGGGTCTTAAAGGAACCCCAGCCTAAGCAGGCAGTGGCTTAGCCTGTACAGTGCAGCGTCCCAGTGCCCAGCGGAAGGAGCTGACGGACTCTCTCCCCAGAAACAGCCGGTTTGAGAAGCTGGTGGCAACAGGATTGGGATTAGCCCAAGTAAATTACAAGCACTTTCCGCATTCCATCCCCCCTCCTGCACACACACACACAGAGCCCTGCTGCATGTGTATACACACCCACTGCACACCCATGCTTCTCTGCCTGCGCATGCGCGTGTGCACACACACACACACACACACACACAGCTCTGCTGTACACCCACAACCCTACTGGCATTTACGCCTGCATTTGGTAAGCTCACGCAAGACCCAGCTGGCATTATTGATACACCAAGTTCCTTGCCAGCAGGGGCTGCCCACTGGTGCTGGGACTGGGCCCACTAACCCACCTGGCGCAGGACTGCCCCGACCCCCTAAGCTCAGGGCAGCTTCACACGGCCACCACATTCTGCAGAATTTGGATCAACCCAGTAGAGACATTTCCCCCCTAACCTCCAAGGCCCCAGGGCGTCCTGAGTGGAGAGAGGTTCTGGTTTAAGAGGCAGGGTGAGCTAATGGGCCAGGAGTCAGGAGACATGGTTCTGCCAGTGACCTCAAACAAGTCTCTGTGCCTCAGTTTCCCCTCTCAGCCTCTCTGTGTCTTATCAGAGCTCTTTGGAGCACACACTGTCTCGCTCTGGGTCTGCGCGGTGCCCAGCACATGAGGTTCTGATCTTGTTTGACGCCTCCAGACACGGCTGTGATACAAGTTCTGTTAATAAATGCTGTCTCGGGGATCCACAGCGCAAGCAACGGGAGCTTTGGGTTGCTGCAGACAGGAACTGATCTGTGTTTCGGGGCCCTGCAATCCTTCTTTCTGAGCCTGGGAGGGCCTGTGGTAGCAGCCATTAAAATGGTGCCCTTAGTCCCTATTTTAAATCTTTCTTAGAGAGGTTTTAAATGTTATTTGTTGCGATTTTCCTCTGATGCCGTGTTGCCAATTTTCTCACTAACCGAGGTTTTCTTAAAGCCCCAGCTCCTGGATTCCTGGGGACGGAGGAGAATCTCAGCTTGTTGCAATTTTCCTCTGATGCCGTGTTGCCAATTCTTTCACTAACGGAGGCTTTCTTAAAGCCCCAGCTCCTGGAGTCCTGGGGACAGAGGCGAATCTCAGCTTGGATTAAAAAAAAATTAGTCCTTAGTCTTTGTGATTGTGGAGAAAAGCTGGAAACGTGGCCCAGATGTGACCTCACGGCTCCAAAGCCAGCTGGTCACACAAACAACCCCCCAGACGTAGTCCTAGTTCCACACTCAAACTTTTGAAGCCTATCTCATGATTTTTGGGGGGCTGACTCATGACTTGGAGCCATCTGGGGTAGACAAAGCTCCTGATCTCATCAGAAACCATTGTGAGCAGAGTGGGGTGATTTCCCACTGGACCCCAGTGCCGAGGGAAGAGGTGGATTCTCCGTCTCCGCAGAAAGGCTGGCTGCTGTTCTGGAAGAGATGCACTGGGTAGAGGCAAGCGACTGGGCTAACCGCAGAGGTAATGGTGAAATTCTGTGGCGAGTGCTCTGCAGGGGTCAAGCCAGGGTCTAACGGCCCCTACTGCCCTATGACGGGACCTCGCAGGCTGCTCTTACGGGTGCAGGGACAGGACAAATAACCCCACACAGCTGCTAAGTCTCTGGGTAGCGCCCTCCAGCTGCTGCACCCATCCCGCATGGCGCTCCTGAGGGGTTAGACTGGGACAACCTGAACCACCGCCTCCAGGCGTCTCTGCAGAGATGGGGCTGGGCACTGGGGAGCCAGCCAGGACCTTGGCTATGCATCCGCACAGGCTGGTAGGAAAGCGTCTGTGGCCCCTTCTCCCCCACGCAAAGGTGGCCACTAGTCCGCCCCCCACACAGCTGGGTGGAGACTTGACTGCACAAGTGTGTTCACACACACACACATGCACACACCCACACAGGTGCACACATGCACACATGCACGCACACACATGCACACCCGCACATACATGCATATGCACCCACCCATACAGGTGCACACATGCATGCACACGCGCGCACATGCATGCACACACATGCACCCACCCACACAGGTGCACACATGCATACACACACACCCATGCACACACCCCCACACATGGACGCACGCACATGCACACATACGCACACACATGCATGCACCCACCCACTAGGGTGACCAGATGTCCCGATTTTATAAGGACAGTCCCGATTTTGGGGTCTTTTTCTTATATAGGCTCCTATTACACCCCCCCACCCCTTGTCCCGATTTTTCACACTTGCCATCTGGTCACCCTACCACCCACACAGGCACACACGCACACACACACACTGGCCAGCGCAGCAGATCCAATGTGGAGGGGAAAGTAATCTGCGCCTGGTACAGGGTGACTGTCCCGGGAGCAAGAGGGGAACCAATGACCACATTACGACTCCACGCTGCCCCTTACTCCGAGCTTGTGCTCAGCTACTTCATTTTCCTTCTGCCTCTTCCCCCATCACCCCGTAAAGGTCTGTCAGGCAGGGCTGGAGGGCAGGTTTGTGGGTGCAGTGCAGAACTCTCACCCTGGAGTACACCGCACTAGCCCCAGGGGCTGCCGGCACGCATGGGAACCCTGTTGTGCTGGGTGCTGTGCAACCAGAGCCAGACAGAACCTGCCAGCAGTGCGGGCTCCGCGGAGCTAACGGGAGCAGATGTGTCAAGGTTGGGACGCTCGGTGGAGCCGACTCCCAGACACGCTGGGACAAGATTTTTCTCCCGCTGTCGGTTTTTGCGACTAATCGCACGTTAACTTCGCAGCTCCAATGAGACGCTTGCCAAACACACTTCCTGCCTCGGGAATTGTTACTAGTCACGTCTATCAGTTCAACGCTGACACTGCTGTTCGCGCCTAGATCTATTATCGATTGCAACGTGTGAAAACGGCTCTTTAGAAGAGTCAATCCTGTCGGGTGGACGGCCTCGGCTCTCACCTGTAAGATCTGGGGTCTGAGCAATGATATCACAGGAGCCGGTAATCTGTGTCCTAATGAGCCAGCATGGGGGCAGCAGATATGTAGGAAACGGCTGCTAGTTCAGAACACAAAGGAGGATTTGACTGGTAAGAAAGTGGCTGTTTTGCTCTCACCAATATCAATAAAAAATCTCATTTTCTTTCCTTCCTTCCTTGGCAGGTTTGCGCCTTTTCAAACACCCTCGCGGCTGCTCCTTGCTTGGCGTTGCCCAAGCCGGAGAAAGACCAGCTGAGTTTCTAGAAATACAGATGAAGGAGCTGGAGCGAAAGCTGCCCTTTGAGAATAATGGGCTGACCTCCCATAACAGAACCTTTCTATTACAGGTTGCAGCGTCCTTGGGGTGCATCTGGTTTTCAGGGGTTGCAGCGTCCATGGAGGGCGTCTCGTTTTCAGGGGTTATTCATTTCATTTTGGGGGGTATTTTTTAGCAAATTTTGAGTTTTATGCAGCTGTCCAAAAATGGGGGGGAGGGTTTTCCTTTGTACATGCTGCACTGAGTATCTCTTGGTAACGTTCCCTGGTGCATGTTAACGTAGGACTGTTTCAAACGGTGCTGGGTTAAAGTGCACTAGGCAACCTTTAGAGCACACCAGCAGGGTCTGAGCAGACCTGTTAACATGCAGCAAGTTAGTGTGCTTCAGGAATCTCCCCTGCAGAGTGCATCACCCGCCGCCTGTAACTACAAATAGCCATTTCCGGTGTTCATTGGATAAACACCAAGTACTTTTTGTTTGTTTGTTTGGGGGTGTTTTATTAGCTAATGCCTACAGTCGGAAGTCCCACCCCCACGCTGGGGCCTGGGGAGAGCGCAGCTGTTGCCGTGTCCCCTTCGGGTGGCAGAGTGGGAGTGCGGGGCAGTGAAGGGAGGACAGCTTTGCAAGTATTTCCTTGACCCACCTACAGCCGATGCACCTCGGTCCTGATTGAAAATAAGCTGCTGCTGCTCCAGCCAAGGACCCACCAGTCTGTCCTGTAGCTTTGTCAGCACATGTCAGTCATCACCCTCCGATCTCCCAGTCCTGAGCTCCCCCCAGACAGCTCTGCTGGTGCCCCTCGCTCCTGAACCACAGCCCCCTGCTAGCCCAACCCTGGGTTCACATACACAGCTGTATCAGTGCCCCTCAATCCTGACCCGCAGCCCCCTGCTATCCCAACCCTGGGTTCACATACACAGCTGTATCAGTGCCCCTCAATCCTGACTCGCAGCCTTTTGCTATCCCAGCCCCGGGCTCCTCCCACACAGCTATACCGGTGCCCCTCAATCCTGACTCACAGCTCCCTGGTATCCCAGCCCTGGGCTCCCCACACACACAGCTCTGCTCATCCTCCACCAGCCCCGCTGTCCCATTCTGTCAGTCCTAGGTCAAAAAGTAGTATGATGCGTCTGGGCTGTGGACTGACCAATAGCAACTGCGATGGGACCCGCCCAGCTCACTGGGATTGGAACCCAGAGACAGACTCCAACACCCCATCCACACTAACCCCCTCCACCCACAGCGAGCAGCCCCACCTTCGGCCAAGGACACTGGAACAATTTGTATGGTGGGGGTGCTGAGAGCCATTGACCCCAACTGTAAGCCTTGGAGATAATGGAAACCACTTCAAACCAAGGGATGCGGCAGCACCTCCAGCACCCTTAGTTCCAGCACCTCTGCCTTCTGCAGCAAGGCCCCCTGCCAGGGACAGGCAAGCCGCACATGGTTCACGCCGCACACTGCGCTGGGTGGGCTCACAGGGTAGCCAGAGGCCTCACCCTGCCGGGGGAGCAGGAGCGGGGCGGGGATGAGAGAGACGGAGTGGGGATGGAAGACATTTCCCAGGGGCCGATGCGGGTGCAAGCTCAGAGCAGAGGCAGTGGTGCTGCGTTCACGTACCTGGTCTGGCGCAGGGGGATGGGTAACGAGACACACAGGAAGGGGTCAAAGGTGTTGCTTTGCTTCAGACAGTGTGGGCAGGTCAAGGAGGACCTAAAAATGAAACAAGAAACCACAGTCAAATTAAACATGGGTGGCTCTGACCCAGGGTGCACCCCACCCAGGGCGAAAAGCAACCAGGGACAGCATCCCTCTGCCTGGGTGAGGGCCCCGCTCCGATCCTGTGATTCACCTTCCAGTGCAGGATTGTCACGGTGCACACTGTGTTCTCCAGCCCAGTCTGCACTGAAACCATCAAGGCAATCGGGCTTCCACCCCTTCCACGGACGTAGATCTGACCATGAGGAAGTTTCTCCTGATAACCAGCCCACCCCCAACTTTGGTCACTTTCATCCCCTGGTTTGTAATAGCTCTCTCCCATTAGCAACCACACTAGGCCCCAGCCACGCTGAGGCCGGACACAGAGCCCTCCCACACAACGGGCTGGTTTCCTTTAACCTCTGCTGCTTTTCTATCCCTCTCTTCCCAAATCCTGGCGCTGTCTCCCTGCCTGAGACCGGAGAGGAGGCCGCAAAGGCCTAGCTGGCTTGAGATGGCCACAGTTACAAACAAATCCGAGGTGCTGGGCTTTCCGTCATGCCTCTTGCAGCCTGACTCAGATCCCGTGCCAGATTCTCCCCCTGCGGGCCACTAGCTACACCAGCGGGATGCCAGACTGGTCATGCCCTCCCAGGGCGCTCAGGAGACTCTAGATGGCAGAGTATTAGGCCACGGGGCTGAAGCAAAGCTACCCAAGGCAGAGTCCTTCCCATGGCGGGGTTCATGGCTCCTCCCCTGAAGGAACCGTACAGCATTAGAGGGCCAGCAGCGTTCGCTCAGCTGCTGGGTTGGGAATAGCATGAGCAGCGTTAGACATCAGCTAGAGTGAGGATCACGTGGGAGCCTGCAGAGCTCATGCGGGCCAATTAGCTCAGGTGAACAGAGCCTCCAGAGGAAGCCTCCAGGCCCACAATACAACAATGGGGACAGAGGGAGATCCAGCTCCTTTCACTTCTCTCCTGGACAGGGAGGAGTCAGATCATTTCTCAACGGGTCAGTGCAGCCCCAGAACGCCACACTCCACACTGAGAAACAACAGCGGCAACATCTGGCCGCCAGTGCCAGGGGTCATCACCAGCTCCCTGACACGTTGCTCTAAGGGACTCCAGGAAATCCCAGCCAATAACATCAAACCATCGCTGGCTTTCCTTCCATGGTCCACGTATGTGAGCTTGTGTGACAGAGCCCTGCCCTGTCTCGTGTGAGCAGTCAGTGGGGTGTAGCTTCCCTATGCAGCTTTGCTAGAACACCCCAAGGATGACTTCAGCACCCCTGCATCTCCTGTCCTGCGCTCCCCAAATGCAGCTGTGCTGGGCCACCTCAGTCTGGGCTACAGCCCTCTGCTATTCCAGTCCTGAGACAGTCACATGCTCTTCTGATGCTCCTCACTCCTGACCCGCAGCCCACTGCTATCCCAACCTTACATTCCTCAACACAGCTCCATTTTTACGAATGTTAGTTACAAATCAGATGAGGGTCAAGCCCCAGAGATTCTGGGAAGCTCGGGCTGCAGAATTCGCAACAGGATCCTCCCCAACCTCCCCAGATTCCAGAATCTTAAGTTTTCATACTTAAAAAAATCTTTCTAATCCTCATGGTTGAGAAAAATACTTCAAAATGTAACCAGTGCGGCACTGTGCTCCTGAGTCTGCAGAGAGCCTGACACCATAGGCTCAAGCGGTAAAAACTGCCCATTCATCCCAAATGACCGTTAACTCTGAAACCTAATGGCACACCACTTGTGTTAGCTATTCACTGCTGATCATTTTAGCCAAAGTACCACCTGATGTGTTTAATCTACAATCCCAAACTGCCTCCCATGCCTCCCCAAGAGACTCAGGTGCCCCCTACCCAGCTGCCCTCCCTTCCCCGCTGCGCGGCCTATCCAACACCCGAGAGACGTTTTAATGAGTGGCCTGCTGGAGCACATGCCACTCAGGAGCTGGTGGGGGCCGTGGCTATCCTGTCTGAGAGGCAGGGCTCAGCCTTTGCCTCTGCGGAGGTGGCATCCTGAGCTCAAGGGGAGGAGCTGGGGGACTGGGAAGTGATGGGGCCAAGTAGAAATGCAGAATGTAGGGCCCTGAGCTCACAAGGAGGCCCAGAAAAGCAACAAACTCCCTGTATGCCCACAGAGTGCCCTGGAGATGGAATGGCAACACTGGGTGTGGGTGAATGTGTGCGTATGGTGTGTGAGATGGCCTAAGCATTCAGGTGTTGTGCAGGGAGGGACAGGGGTGTGTGTGCATGTACCTGTGTGCATACAGTATGCCTGAGGCTGTATGGCAGTGGGTTTACACTGGAGGTAGAGTGGCTCTGCATGTTTACGAGGCTCAGCCTAAGCCTACATTTACCTGCCTGGTAAATCTGCAGTCCAGCCGGCTTCCCCATCTGCTTCTTTGGCAGCCGGCTGCAGAGAATTTCAGCCAGACGGTTCCCACCCCCCTTTTCTGGAATCGCTGCAGTGAAACCCGCCCAGCAGTGCTTTGCTTTTCCGTTTGATCGCCACCGATGACAGAGCGTTCCACACGAAGGGCAGTGATCCGAGGCTGAGCGATCTCCCCTCGCTGCGACTGCTTCTCTCCTCTGCGCCCGGGTGTGTTCAGCTCGGGGTCCCGGTGTGAAGGCGCTCGCTGCTGATCACTGCTTGGATTCGCTGTTTCCAGCCAGCCTGCTTTGGGCCCTTTACCACGTTCCTCTTGTTGTTTGGGGGGGGAGCTGGAGAGGGGATCAGTGAGAGCTCTGCCTCAAGGGACAGAAATGCTGCAGCCCCGGAGCATGCTGTCTGTCCCTGTACCTCTTTGCAGAGGCACTTCACTGTTGTGCAGCATTACAGGAGCCCCGGCTCCCACGTTCCCCCAAGCTCCGCTCTCCAGTTCAGCCATCACAGGGGCTCCCCTCAGTGTCTTCTGCACTTAGCTGCTCCATTCATCTCTCGTTAGCAAACCACCTGTGGAGTGGCACCAGCTGGCTGCTCTGCTCCATCAGGTGATGCTCGCTGGTTATTTACCTGGAGCCAAAGCTGGGCCAGGCACCAGCTGGCTCCCTCCACAGCTGCGAACAGCAGAGAGGCTCTGCCACCCGTCTGCATCCAATCCATGGAACGCGTCGTGGAAACATCAGAGTGATCCCACCAGCTCAGGCCAACGACTTATCTCCGCCAGCTGCTCATTAACGCCACACAGGCTCTCCGGATTTACATGTCTCTGATCCTGTAAGAGGTGTATCACTGCCACAAAGCTTGGAGATCTCTGTACAGGCCGGCGCTGCAGGGCTGGAGCTGGGAAACGGGCCACACACTGCAGACAGGCTTGATACAGTTATTCTGCCCATCGGCAAGGCGTGGTTCCTGGTGCCAGGCAGGACTGTGCCAGAAAGGCGCAGGGCATAGTTGGGGCGGGGCGGAGAGGCTCGGTGTGGGATGGCCTGGGATGGCTGAGCTTGGTGTGTTGCTTCTCGCACAAGACATTTTGCAGGAGACCTGTGGGAACTTCACATCTCCAGGTCTTCAAGCTTCCAGAGCTTTGTTTTTCTCCATTTTTTATTTATTTAACCTGGCTTCAACCTCAGCCTTTCCCAAGGTTAAAACGCAGCCTCGCATCAAAGAGACGTCTCTCTCCGAAGTGCCACAGCTGAATAGATCTGCATGCGCTATGGTATGTGTGTGGGGACGGGGTTAAGCCATACGGAGGAGAGAACAGGTCAAGACCTGACCATCACATGCCACTTGCGGACCTTCCTTGTATCCAGATGATCTCTGTGCACCGAGAGCCAGTTCATTGCACAGGGACCAGCCGGAGGTAGCTATGCGCAGATGTTCAATCCAAAAACCAAGGCAGATACGATTTCCCCCTAATACTCAGTGGCGCATTTCCAGACAGGGAACGTGCAGGGAACGAGGTGCAGATGCTGGCTTCTGCATGGACTGCAGCCTTCATGCATTACCCTGCAGTGCACACACCTGCTGAGGACCTGAGACCCACGCTGGACATGCCCGAAAATGTCTGATGGGGAAGGCCCTGCCAATTTGTTAACTCTGCCATGCTGCCATTTGGACGCGGCTGCATCACAGTGCCATGTGACCATCTGTCCGAACAAGTGCTCTCCCCAGCGCAGTGTGTACCAGGGAGCGTATGGTGGTTTGCCAGGACACATCTGGATCCTCACGCCAGAGAGGGACAGAGCTCTGTGCTCATCTAACCCAGACTCTTGGCCCCCTACTCTGTCTACTCCAGCGTGTCTCCCAGACTAATTAAATGCCCCAAGCAAAAAGGCTGCATGGCTCAGCGGGAGAGAGAGAGAAGTGGTGCAGTATGGGGCAGGAAGATGCCAGGAAGGTAAAAAGGGAAGGTCTACACAGCAGGGGTCCGTCCAGGTTTAGTATGTGTTGCTGAGCATTGGGAACAAAGAAACCAGGTGAGCAAACGACCCGTTCCCCAGAAATGCGACCGCAGGGAAGGATGAGTGGTGTACATGAGAAGGGCCCCGTGAGGAACGTGTACATTAGAGACACGCTCCAAGTGACACCCGTAAACGACAGCGAGGGTGCACCGGCTCCGAAGGGCCGCTCATGTAATGCGCAGCCCTGGGCAAAGGACGGAGAGGCCGACCCAAGAAGACCCGTTAGCATGTGGGGCGATGGCGTTTAACAGAGCACGTCGGGGGCAGCAGGCCCATCTGCCGAGACTGACGCAAGGAAGAAGCAGCAGCAATGAGGCTGCTTCCCCGCAGTCAGAGATCTCCCTGCCGAATGACCCCTGGCATCGCTCCGCAGTTCCCGAACCTGACCAAGTGCATGGACTGCCACTCTGCCCGTCTACCTGGCCCCATCACTGAGCACCTCAGCCTTCCCTGTGCTCATCCGCACAGCCCCCCGCGAGGCTGTGCCGTGCCATGCGCCCCAGCACACAGGTGGGAAACTGAGGCAGAAAGAGGCTAAGTGACTGCCCAAGGCTACCCAGGAAGCCTGTCACCCTGAGTCCCAGGCTTGTGTCCCA